CATTTTATTATTCACTATTTTATTAACTTTGATTTGTTGTAAGTATTATGTATATAGTTAGTTTTTATATTAGTAGCGAAGAGCCACTATGTGGAAGTATACAAATAAAGGTCATTAACGTTCTTCTTATTCTTCAAACTGGAAGATTTTCAAGGTTTCCGTAACATCGTATTCTATGCATGTTATGCTGTTTTTCATATTCTTCAACGTATGATTAAGTTCAGCGTCGATCATTTATCATGCTTAGAAGAAAGTATTCTTATCTTTAAGTTTAACTGGAAAATTACTTTGGCTCACATTGTACGCTTAAAAGGAGCGTTACAGTAAACATGAGTTGATTCCAAAGGAAGGTTTTGTGAACCTTGGGACTAGCGAACGTGGGAATCCAGTTTGAGCGCGGTGGCATGCGTTACAAGGATGTTGCATACGTGAGTACAAGCCTCACCCCTTGGTTTTCGCAGGTGCCTCAGAGTGCGGTGGGACTGACTCTCACGTCTGCCACTCCGGCGCCCGTGATTTCCCGGAGTTGCGCGTCTATTCACGAGGTCCCTTGGGTATAGTCAACCTGGGATTCCATTTTCGTTGCGTTGGCATGCGTTACGTAGAAGTGGCATACGTGAGCACAAGCCTCACCCTTTGGTTTGCACAGGTGCCTCAGAGTGCATGGGGGCTCGTTCGCACGCATGACACTCCGGCGCCTGTTATTTCCCGGAGTCAGGCGACTATTCCCAAAGTACATTGGGTCTAGTGAATCTGGGATTTCATTTCGGGCGCGTTGACATGCGTTACGTAGAAATGGCATGCGCGCGTACAAGCCTCACCCTTTAGTTTGCACAGGTGCTTCAGAGTGTATCGGGGCTCGTTCGCACGCATGCCACTCCGGCGCCCCTGATTTCTTGGAATTGTGAGTCTTTCCCCGACTTCCCTTGGGACTAGTGAACCTGGGATTCCATTGTTGGCGTGTTGGCATACGTTACGTCGAAGTGGCATGCGTGAGTACAAGCCTCACCCTTTGGTTTTCACAGGTGCCTCAGAATACATGGGAGTTCATTCGCATGCATGCCACTCCGGCTCCCGTGATTTCTTGGAATTGCGCGTCTTTCCCCGACGTCCCTTTGGACTAGTGAACCTGGGATTCCATTTTGGGCGCATTGGTATGCGTTACGTAGAAGTGGCATGCGTGAGTACAAGCCTCACCCATTGGTTTCCACAGGTCCCTCAGAATGCATGGGGGTACATTCGCACGCATGCCACTCCGGCGCCCGTAATTTCCTGGAGATGCGCTTCTATTCCCAAGGTTCCTTGGGCATAATGAACCTTGGATTCCAGTTTGGGCGCGTGTGCATGCGTTACGTAGAAGTTGCATGCGTCAGTACAAGCCTCACCCCTTGATTTGCACAGATGCCTCAGAATGAATGGGGGTTCATTCGCACGCATGCCACTCCGGTGCCCGTCATTTCCCGGTATTGCGCGTCTATTCCCGAGGTCCCTTGGGTCTAGTGAACCTGGGATTCCATTCTAGGCGCGTTGGCATGCGTTACGTAGAAGTGGCATGCGTGAGTACAAACCTCACCCCTTGGTTTGCATTGGTGCCTCAGAATGCATGGGGGTTAATTCGCACGCGTCTATTCCCGAGGTCCCTTGGGTCTAGGGAATCGGGGATTCCATTTTCTGGGCGTTGGCATGCGTTAGTTAGAAGTGGCATGCGTGAGTACAAGCCCCACTCCTTGGTTTGTACACTTAATAATTTCCTACTTTCACATTTGTATATATATATA